TTATCATTTTTTTTATTGTTAAATTTATTTCATCTTGTTATTTAATAAAACGTTTTATGAGTCAGAAGTTGTCGCCAATTGATATTAATGAAATTTTTGAAATTGACGTGACAAAGAAAGAAATAATTGAAAAGGAAAAGACTCAAAAAGGACCTAAAAAAATGAATGAAGAAAATTTAAAGATTTTACAAAAGTTCGATGTGTGTTTTATCTATTTTTTTTTTAATAAAATTATTAATAAATATTAATATCATTTTAGAGTTATGACACTGAGCATAGTAAAGAATTAGATGTATTTCAATTAAAGAAATATATAGAAAAGGAGTTTAATATTTCATTAAATGAAGAAACAATTAAATATCATTGTGGTCAAACATTCTTAGAAAAAGCATACAAAGTACAAAGAAATGAATTTATTGCATTTCATAAATATATAATATCAAATATTAATGAAATATCAGTTTGTTATTCAAAAAGAATAAAAAGATGTATGTGTATTAACACTTTAATAAAAAAAACAAAATTATTTATTCATTTAGAAAGAAAAAACAAATAGTATTTTTGATGAATTTGAAAATCAATTTAGAGATAAAGGAGGAGCAGATTTTAAATGTAAATATCTTGATAGAAATGCTTTTGTTATTTCAAATAATGAAAAACCTCATTTATTAAAGAATAGTTTAGAAAAACCACAAGAAATTAATGACACTTATCATAGTTTTATATTTAATCAACTTTTTTCTGATACCAATTCTATATATAAAATGCCCAATCAATATCGAAGTGTTTTTGATGGTAAACCACCTTTAAAATTAAGTTTGGTTCAAGGAAATGAAGAAATGTTTCATGTAGATTCATTAATTCAAACAGAAAATAGAAAACCTGGTACAAGAAAAAGAAAAAGTAAATACCTTTTTGAATATTATAATCCTAGATTATCTGAAATTGATTTATTATATTCGTCTAATCTTACAAATGCTAAATCTCAATCTTTAGAAGCTGATCTTAAAGTTAAAAAACCTTCTCTTATTGAAATTACTGGATTTAAAACAAATTTATCAATAGATAATTTATATTGTAGAATGTCATTTTATGATAAAGACTATATTAAACTAACTTCTAATTTCTACTTTGTTATAACAGCAGAAAAATTAAAAGATCATATGGAAAATAATAAAACACTTGAAATTCCTATTGCATCTGCTGTATTAAAGAAAGAATATATTGCTAATTTATGTCAAGTATTTGTTGTATTAGAAGTATATAAGCAAATGGATTCTGATATTAATCTTGCACGTGAAATTTATTGTGATGATAATAAAAGAGAAGTAAAAGTAATAAAGAAGTATAATGACCATTATAAAGAATCAATAAAAGTATTTGAACAAAAAGGTTATTTACAACTCTTAATGTTTAGTGCTAAATTAATTAATTTTCAAGCTTCATATTCAAATATTAAATTAGTTAAACCAAACGGAGATCCGAAAGATGTTGGTTCAATGATTAGAGACATTGAAAAGATGAAAACATGTGGAGAATGGAGTTTTAAATATAGAGGGACACGACCAGAAATCGTTCATATTGATGGCCCTTATAGAATGTTTTCTCCTGAAAAAAATGAAACATCAACATTAAATATTTTAATGCTTACTGATATTAGCCCACCTGAAACTGATGAAATTTATATAGATTATCAAAATTTATTATTTGTTTATCCGTCTGAAGTATCTTTAGGAAAAGAGAAGAAAAAGAGTGGAATAATTTTAAATGTTTATCTTAGAGATTCTGATTCTTTATTTGATGAGTCTAAACCAGACGCATTAAAAATGATATTTCCTTGTCAAGAAGGAGTAATAGAAAATTTAGAAACATGTTTTACATCTTCTGTATCTATTGATAAAGTTGGACATTTTATTGATGAAGTAAAGATTCAGTTACCTTTTCCTCTTAACGAAAAACATCATTTACTCTTTGTAATTAAAGACATTAATGTTGATGATGGAACTGAAGGAAAACACTTTTTTGCAAAACTTCCATTATATCAAAAAGGTACAATTGTTCAAGGAGGAGAACATACTATTCAAGTTTTAAAAGATATGGTACCAAATTATCTTCAACAAGGTGAGTGTTATGACACGGCTAAAGTGTATGTTAGGGCTAATATTCAATTAGTTTCTTCTGTATATCCACAAGATCCAGTTATAGCACAATTTATTTCAGGGAAAGCAACTATTAATGATATAAGAGATATTGATTATCATTACGACCTTGTTCATTTCCTTCCATGTATTCTTCAAAGATGTATAGATGTATTAAATGACAGAAAAAGAGAAGAGATTTATGAAATGTTTCGTGTATTTAGAATTATTGATTTAACAAAAGAAAATAAGACTGATGATGATGATACAGAAGATAAATATCTTGTTTACAAAAATCCATTAATTCTTAATGCTATTAATCATTTTGTACCAACAAAAACAAGTGGGGGTCATTATCTTTGTACAATTATATTATCAACTTTACCTATTATTTTTGATAAAGCAGAAACTATTGCAAAAGAAAGACTAAAATATGTGTGGATTATTTTTGCATTAATTATTAAATCAATGGTTGGGTATTATGAAGATAAGAAAGTTTTTGATCTTACTAATTTCCATGATTTCTGTATGACTGAAAATGGTAAAATGATTGGAGGATCCTTATATGAACGATCAGTCTTGTTTTCTGATTTTCTTGTTTACTGTTCAGATAATAAAATTGTTGATGGACTAACTATTCGAGATGCCAATTTATTCTTTGGTGAATTTATTAGAGATTTGTCTTTATTATGGAGACATGATGAAATGGCCAAACTTATTGATAGCCATTTGGACAACCTTTCAATGATGAAAGAGAATAGCATATCTTCTATAAATAATTTTCAACAATTACTTCGTCTTGAATTTATTTCAGTATTAGCTGAGAGTGATCATCTATATCAAATTAATGGACCACAACTACTTGAAATTAAAGAAATTAATAAATTAAATGATCAACTACAACAACGACATACTTTGATGTTTATTATTCTAAGACAATATTTCCAATTAATATTAAGTCCTGATAAAACAGTTAGTACAATGGCATTACAAGAATTAATTATTATTATGAATAAATATGATCTTGATAAACAATTTTCAACTCAAACAGAACGTGATAAATTCTTTAATATGATTTTTCCATTTGTATTATTTATTCTTGATGATTCAGAAAAGATTAATGAATGGAAAGCAAAAGACTGTTTAGCAGATTTATATGACATTGAATCACTCTATGTTATCTTCTTCTTTATTCTTAAAAATTTAAAAGAAACAACTATTCAACAGTGGTTAGTTTCTGATTTCCTTCCAAGTCTTCTTAATTCATTACTAACTCATATCAGAAAAGCGTTATTATTATTTAGTAGATATCCATATGATTTTATTCCAAACTCTACTGCAATATATTCTAAAGAATTAATTCAGTTAATTAAAGATATAGAAAATAAGGATACACTAAGTTCTTCTCGTTCTCCTTCTCCTTCATTAATGAGAAGTTCAAGTACTATTCATTCTAAAATATCCGCTTTAGGATCATCTACACATCGTTTATCTTCAAGACTAAAAAGAACATTAGATTCTTATGAACAAGAAAAAGATGTACCACCAACACCAAGAAAAGGAGATCATTCACAAACAGGATCAGATACTCCCAAAAAAGGTACAACAGTATATTCTGAACGTTTATCAGGACTAGGGAGATTAAAATCTTCAAATCTTAATACAAATAAGATAGTTAATTGTGATAATACAGTTGATAACTTGGTTATTGATATTGCTTTAATTTCAATGGACTTTTTAGAAACAACTATTGGAGTATTGGTTAATGCAGAAAATACACAAGCACTTGAAAGAGCACAAGAAATTATCTCATCAGTATTATTTGAAGTTAAACCAACAGAAAATTATTTACCTAGTTTATACGAATTTATAAGAAGTATGATTACTACATATAGAGACTTTATTTTTAAAAGACCAAACAACTTAGCATTAAATTTATTAAAGAATTTATTACAACTCTCTAATTCTGATAATCAAATCCAAAAGAATTTTTCTAACAACTTAATTTTTATCTTTGCTAAAACAAATTTCATTGTTACAGGAAATACAGTCGCTACAATAGTTAATGCCACAAGTGCTTTATCAGAACTTCAACTTAATGATGTTCATAATATTGAAAAATCAATTCAAGGATTATTTGATTTGGCCAAAAAATACCATGATAACTTTGATACAAAATTACAAAAATGCATTGAAATATCTCTTAATGAAGGGGTTAGAAGAAACAAATCATTACAAAGAGTACAACAATTATATAAAGCTGTAGATGCAGGAGATCTTGATGTTTTTATTACATTTGTATACGATTATATTAATATTTTAAATAGATTATTTGATTTTATCCTAAACGCAGAACCAACAGTAATAAATGGATATATTGAAATGAAGAGAGAGTTAGTGACTATGCTTAGAAAGAATGAAAGTGTTAATATGGTTAAAGAATGGATTAATTTTATTAGGGAGAAAATTGAAACAACAAATGAAACTCTTGTAAGCTTTTTAATTGAAAAGAAACAAATTATTGAAAATGATTATGAAATGTGTATTCATAAAATTAATCAGTTAGAAGGTCATTGCGACCTTGACAAAAGAGATATGGAAGGTTTAGAAGAAAAATGTAAAATTAATAAAAAAATTGGAGAACAATTATTAGACTGGGCAAAGAAATCACTCTCTATTGATAGCTGTGACTTAGAATCTTTTAATGACTTACAACTAATTAGAAAGATTGAAGACCTAGAAAAAGAACAAATAAAAAGAACAAATGAAGTTAAAAATTTACTCGACGAATATACTTCTTTTGACGAAACTTTAACTGCATTTAAATTAACTTCTAATCCATTATTCCCTGTTACTAGTCAAGAAATGACTGATGGAGTTAGAAAGGTTCTTCAATTACATCAATCACGAATTAAAGCTGTTAATAGTCATTTACAAACAAGAACATCGTATGACTCAGAAAAAGAAAGATATATTAATAAAATTCAAGCATTTGAAGGTATTATTTATAAAAGATTTACAGACATATGTACTGAAGTATATGGGATGCCAATTGATGCTAATTTTTTAAAAGAATCAATTGATAAATTTAAAGCATTAAATCATTTGTATAATAACAATGTTAATAAATTAGAAGATAAAAAAGAAAAAATGGGTGGACTAAAACCATCATGGGAAATTGCTTATTGTAGTTGGGAAGAAAGTATTAATTATGCTATATCAGTTGTGGAATGGTTAGCACAATTAGTTGAGAATGTTAAAAATAATGAAGAAAATATTTTACAAATGAAGAAATGGTATGACAACGAACGTGTATTTATTACAACTGTAGTATCAACATATTTATGGGATGGGTTATATGTATCACTTGCAAAGGTGACAATGAGAGAATCAAATGATTATTTGAAGATACTTGCTAAAGTTTCACAATATTTATTGGATCATGTAGAAGAAGCAGAAAAACAATATGAAGATGCAGGATCATTATTACAAGAATTAAGAAAAAGAAAGAAATTACCTCTAGGATTTAAATTTCTTCAAGTAATCCAAGAAAAAGACTTTGAAAAAATTCAAATGATTTTTGAATTGTATGATGCTAAGTGGAAGGAAGAAGAAAAAGTAGAAAAAATTAGAAAAGATTATGCTGCATTATTTGAAGAATTCTTTAATGAAACTGATAAAATTATTGACACAGAACCATCAAAAGTTCCTGCCATAGTTATTCAAATAGTACAAAATTTAAGAGATAAATTATTGATTTACGATGAACAGAAAATAGAGAAATTAAATAGGTACTGTGACTTAAAAAGAAGTGAACAAACAGTTTGGGGAAGATGCTCTGCTTTAGGTATTCCTGAAAAAGAAATAAAACAAGACAAAGAAACTAATGTTTATCAAATCCCAAAAAGTCCTCGAACATCTGCTTATACCTATACTCAAAGAAACACATCGTCCAACTCAAATCTTGGTGCTCAAGGGTTACCAAGGGCAACAAGAAGAGGAGATGAAAATCGTGATATTATAGGTTTCTTTATGAATGGAGATGAAAAAGTTAAAGTTGATTCATTTCATGATTTTTCTTATGGTCAAAGAGATGCATTTGATGACGATTTGAAAATTGTACAAGACGATATTATTAAAATATTAAAGAACTTAAATAATTTAAATGCATTATTAAATGATTCAAGAGACCCTCAATTTGTTCTTGAAAGGTATTACCAATTTGCTATGGACTACGTTTCTGCACCTCAATTGCATATGACTTGGATTGCTAAATTAGCACAACAACATAGACTAAAAGAACAATATATTGAGGCTGGGTTATGTGAGGTTCATTTAGTATTATTTATTCACCACTTATTACCAGAAGAATTGGTATCAATCAATGTAGATGTTTTGAACACAACATTTGGCAAATTTGTTCCGAATACTTCCGTCCCTCCTAATCCACAATTTACTGCTCATCTTACAGAAGACATGATTCTTCAACATATTACTGCTGCTTGCCATGATTTTGAACATGGAAAAATTCCGTGGTATGGATTAATGGTAGCATCAGTTGTTATCCCTTATTATATTAAAAAGAATAAATACAAAGAACTAGGTTATATCCATGACTTTGTTAATAGGATGTATGCTATGATGGTTGATAAAAATTGTGATGGAACCGTTAAAGACTTTGTTCAATTTTATTATGTTAGGCTATTTGGAACTGTCTTTGGTGATTACTTAAATGCTAAATCGTTTATATATGCTTCAACCAAGGAAAGAATGTCATACTTATTAAAAGAAACAAATGACATTCTTCCTCCAACGTATAAAGGAGAAAAACATTTCTTACGTTCATTAGATCAAATCACTGAAAAAGTTATTAAGTCTGAAAATGAATGCAATATACTTTGGACTCAAGTTCAACCAGTTTATGATAAAGGTAATTTTATTCAATATAGCTCAACATTTAATTGTGACGAATTATGTCTGTCTAAAGAAGCAAGTGAAATAGAAGGCATTTCGCTTCAAAATGCACCAATATTAAGTATATGCAAAAAGAGAACAGTGATAAGGACTCGTTTTGTATTACCAAGTCTTTTGACAAGACAAGTTGTTGAAAGTGAGGAAGTTATTTATTTAACTTCTATTGAAATTATTATTGAAGAGATAGAAAAAAGGAAGAAGAACATTGATTACTTCCTTTCAGAAAGTAAGAAATTCTTCCAAGATGTTGATTTTGGTATTGTTTCTTCATTACAAAAGAGTGTTGGTGATTTTTTCTTTGGTTCTACTGATGTTCAAGTAGGAAAATCAAATCTTTTTAATACAATCAAAATTATTGATGTGTTAAATAAATTTTTCTCTGACTTAAACCAATTTGAATTTAACTTATACTTACAACTTTATGACATTGTCAAAGAATGTACAAACTGTTGTGCTGAGGCGTTAGCAATTGTTAAGGAAAATACAAAAATTAGAAAAAGTAGTGCA